ACACGCTCGCCAGCGCGAGGACAGGATGTAATGACCCTGGTCTTGGCAGACACGGGCGGGTGATGCGAGATGCAAGGCAAACGATTTGGCGAACGATTGGCCTACCTGGGAGAGCTGGGCGACAACGCCCTCCGCGGTACCTTCCGCTCGTGCCACGGTGTCATCCACAAAGGTCCAGAGTTCCGAGGAGGAGACAAGGGCCCGAACACTCGAGGCAGCACGGACCGCCGACAACGGGCCCAGGAAACCTTGGCGAGTTTGACACTGTGAACCGAGTTAGCCACGATTGATCTCGGGGGGGAGTTTAAATCAGAAACAACATTCCTGGACCGCAAGATCCTGGGAGCGAGAAACGTCTGAACCTCGAGTAAGGTAACGATGGACGGAAAGCCCTGCTGGACAGAAACGCGCATGAGCAGCAACATGCTAACGTGATCGTGAATTTTCTCGAGGTCGAGAAGGATGGAAGCAGATGTGAACCCAAGCTGATGAGAAGAAATGTCTAACATCGCCCTCTGAAGCTTGGAGGGTGAAAGAGGAGGTCTGCAACAGGGGGTCTTCAATGGGGGCTGAATGGCCCATGTATGCTCAATGTATCGCTCATGTATGTGATCGGGTATGATTGGCATCCAATGTTGGCGGTCATGGAGGGCCGGTCGTTCGTGCCCGCGCGTTGCCCGCGCGGGCAAACGCGCCGTCCATCCATTATCGTTCATGCGTGCGGGCGTTCTTGCATATTGCGCGTTGGGCGGAGAAGTGGCGTGCAAGTGTGTCTTGATTGTGCGATTGATGATCGTGTGTGTTCCCAAACGATGACTTGTCGAACCCCAGGACAGATTTAAAAAGAGTCCCGCGATTTTCCCAACATGTGAATTCATTTTCCTTTGTCCCAAAATGTGAATTCACATTCTGGCCCCTTCATACAGATTCCTACACAAAATTCCAAGAAGTGAATTCAATTTTTTTTTTTTCCAAAATATGAATTCACATTTTCCTTCTCGAAATGTGAATTCATAATGCGAAGGCATTGCGGCCGGTGCCGCCGACCCTGAAGACGAAGCTGTCTGTGACGCCGTGAAGGCCGAAACGTCGTATATGCTAAAAATGTAAGTTCCCGATGGAAAAGTAATGAGTGTGGCCTCTTGGGCCCTTCTTGGGGGTGCTCTTGGAGGGGGCCTGGGACGTCTTGGAGGCTTCTTGGGCGGTCTTGGGGCTATCTTGGGCGTCTTCGGCCGATCTCTGGGCGACTCGGGGCACTCTTGGGCCGTCTCGGGGGCCATCTTGGGCATTCGCACCTCATTTGGAGTGTTTTCGAGGTTTCGAGGCCGCCCGAGGAAAAACGAATATGCCCCCCCCCACACCCCTCCCGGGACCCCCTCCCCTGGGGAAGGGATCAAAGGGAAGGGGCTTCCCTTCGAATCGACAACGGCATGACGGCAGGAGGGTACGGCCCAAAAAGAAAAAAGGGGGAAGGAAGAAGGGGGGGCGGCGAGGAACGGACGAGGAAACCCCTCGCACACGCCGACAGGGTCGGCGGATTTTGCTTTTCCCCGCAATGTCAATTCACATTTTGCCCTGGCCTTCAAGATCCCCAAAACTGAAGCGCAATGCTCCGAATGTCAGATCGGCTGGGCAGATGTGGCACTCAGCTCACCGCTTTCGTTTATCCAAACCTTTCTGTTGCGCCCTCAGCGCACGTTGCCTTCGTCGCCTTTCTCAAGCCCCCTGCCCCCTTGCTTCGTTTACCCTCGAGTCTCGCGCATGGGTGCAGGCGGGGAGCTTCAATTCGTTCCCCCGCCGAACACAGCAATCGAGGATGCATCGCCCATGCATCGCCCATAAAGACACCATTACCGGGACCCTGTGCCCGACCCCCGTTTTCACCCTCCAAGAAGCGCGGCTCGCAATGCCGACAACCCTCGAATCGCCGTGTCCCGAAACTCACCGAAGTCTTGAGACCATTGATCCGTGATTGGGCCCGGAGCTCTCGACCACACACCCATGCAGGTCGCCACACACCTATGACGCGATCACCTCCTGACGGCTTAAGGATGGTCGCGCAAATCGCCAGGAGGAGTTGCAGAGGCCAATATCCTTCTTGCTCCACGGCTCGAAGCACATCCCCGAACTGTTGCGTGCCCTCGGACGGCACCCCCTGAATATCCAGAGGGCCGATGACGTTCACGCCTCGGGCCTTGCTGGGCGACACCCTGGAAGCAACTCGGATGATGCCGTCGTCGCCCAAGGCCTGAGGAGGAGGAGGAGTAGGAGGAGGAGGGCCATTGTAACCCCAAGACCCATCAACGATGTTGCAATTACCCGAGACGTGCCCAACCCCTTCTCCACGGGAAGCGAACATTTGTATGACCGTTCCATACAGCAGAACACATCGCTAGATATGCACGACCTGCGTTGTCCTCATCTCCGCGGTGCCTCCCAGCAATTCACAAACGTGGCGACGGTTGCGCAGTTCGCAGCTTCCTGGGGAACCGCGAGGCCTCGGCTGGATCCGCGTGGTTCCCGACTCCGCTGGACCTCCAAGGAGCCCACGAAAGTGGCTACGGTTGCACAGTTCGCAGCCGCCCAGGGAGCTGCGAGGTCTCGGGTACTCGCCTGCCGTGCCTACCAGGAGCCCACGAGAGTGGCGACACTTGCGCAGTTCGCAGCCTCCCAGGGAGCTGCGAGGTCTCATGTGCTCCCCTACCCCGCCGTGCCTCCCAGGAACCCACGAACGTTGCGACAGTTGCGCGGTTCACAGCCAGCCAGAGAGCTGCGATGTCTCGTGTACTCCCCTACTCTGCCGTGCCTCCGAGAAGCCCACGAGAGTGGCGACAGTTGCGCAGTTCGCAGTCTCCCAGGGAGCTGCGAGGTTTCATGTACTCCCCTACTCCGCCGTGCCTCCCAGAAGCTCACGAAAGTGGCGACGGTTGCGCAGTTCACAGCCAGCCAGGGAGGGGCGAGGTCTCTTGTATTTCCCTACTCCGCCGTGCCCCCCATAAGCCCACAAAAGTGGCGACGGTTGTCCAGTTCGCTGCATCCCGAAGCATTACGATGTCTCGTCTACTCTCCTAATCCGCCGTGCCTCCCAGGAACCCACGAACGTTGCGACAGTTGCGCAGTTCGCAGCCGCCCCATGAGCTGCGAGGTCTCATGTATTCCCCTACTCCGCCGTGCCTCCCCAGGAACCCACGAACGTTGCGACAGTTGCGCAGTTCGCAGCCCCACGCAGTGAGGTGCGAGGTCTCGTGTACTCCTCTACTCCGCCGTACCTCCCAGAAGCCCACGAAAGTGGCGACAGCTGTGCAGTTCGCAGCCGCCCAGGGAGGTGCGAGGTCTCGGGTACTCCCCGTCTCCGCCGTGTCTCCCAGGAGCCCACGGAAGTGGCAGCAGTTGTGCATTTCACAGTCAGCCAGACCCTACTCCGCCGTGCCTCCCAGAAGCCCACGAAAGTGGCGACGGTTGCGCAGTTCACAGCCAGTCAGAGAGCTACGAGATCTCGTGTACTCCCCGACTCCGCCGTGCCTCCCAGAAGCACACGAAAGTGGCGACCGTTGCGCAGTTCGCAGCCACCCATGGAGCAGCGCAGGAGGAGGAGGCATGAGGAGGAGGCAGGAGGGAGCAGGAGGAGAAGAGGGGGCGCCACCGCAGGGCTCTATTCGAAACCCGAACCCGACACATGATAATTGGGAATCCATTATCTGTCCAAGATCCCTCATGGGTCCCTAGAAGAAGTTCTTCTCATCGCGGGAAGTGCCCCATTGAAAGACAACTGTCTGAGAACTTTCAATCGCCCCCAAACACAACTCCTGGGACCTCAGCACCGCGAACTAATGTGTCTGCTGCGTCCGGACGATCCAGAATCCTTCCAGTCGACATTCTGGGGACTTCACCGAGAATCAACGCGACTGGCGTCCTGACTGCCAGATCGTGCCAGAACGCTGTTCCTGGTACTTCAGCTATATGCTTCCTTGACGCTGCCAGCAAACTTTTGGGACGAATGTGCGCGGCGCTACGACGAGAGCCACACTGAAAAGGGCCCGCCCTCCATCCGTCAAGCTCTTACAAGCTTGAAGACGAAAGCGTGCGGCGCCAAGGCGAGAGTCCCGTTTTGAGAACGGCCCGCCCTCCATCCGTAAAGTTCCTAGAAACTTTCAAGACGAATGTGCGTGGCTCTCCGGCGAGAGTCACATTTTGAAGACGGCCCGCCCCCCACCAGTGATGTTGTTGTAGATTTCAAGCTGCAGGATGATCAGATTGTTGGGACGTCTCAGCCGAAGCGCCCGGCCCGCTCCACCGACACGTCTCGGGGTGCGGCGGTGATAAGGAAAATGGGTGGAAGCAGGAGGAGGGAGGATGAATTGTCTCGGCTCGACCAGGGCACGGGCGGGCCCCTCGAGTCTGAAGTGGAGTTGTGTTGGGTGGCTGGGTGCGCCTACCTCGCGACCTAAAGGGGGATGTGATGGAGATCAGTGGTTTCGTACGGTAGGTTTGCGTCGTGTCGACCAGCGGCGACCCCAGCGCGGTCGTTCAAGGTTAAACGCCGCCGGCGACCCAGAATCGATCGATGTTGAACGATCGGACGTTGCGGAGACGGCCGATCGTTCAAGGTTGAACGATCCCCGCGGTGTCAAAAACCAACGCTGGGGTCGGCACGACACGAACCTGCCGTAACAGCTTGAATGAGGACCAGCCGATCCCTTCTCACCGCGGGGCCGCGTCGCTGGCTGTCTCACCCAAGTGCCCATCATGGATCCGATCGAATCCAGGCTGGGGGGCGGCATCCCTGAACGGAGAGACGAACATGCAGAAGCAGTGGTCATTCTGAAGCAGTGGTCCGCCGAGGGCGGGGAGTGATGGGGAGGGAGGGGAAGGATGGGAGGGGATGGACGGAGGGAAGATGAGGAGAAGTAGGAGAAGGAGGAGAAGGATGAGGAGGAGGAGGAGGAGGAGGAGGAGGAGGAGGAGGAGGAGGAGGAGGAGGGGGGGGCGGGGCGCGGCAGGCTCACCATACGGGAGAGGGCCATGAGCACGCTGCAGAGCATGTCCTTCTTCGGCAGGGCGCGCCTGCGCTCCACCTCCGGGGGTCGCGCTGGTGTGTGCTCGCGCGCGCGCGGGCGGCGGCCCCCTGTCGGTGATTACCCTTGGACGGTTCGCGACGCGATGATCGACAATCGATTGCATCAGCGAGCGCCGTGGGGATTTGATTCTGATCAAGGAGACGAATTTTAGGTGAGTGTGATCGTTTGCTTCGTGAGTCGGATCTCGTGCATACCAACACGGGCGGTAATTTCCCGTATCGGGAAGCACCCAACTTGGCGAAATCCGAAACGTACTTTCGCCGAGCAACGATTCGGGCAACTCGATGGGCGGCGGGTGTGGGGTTCGAAATTCGTCGAGAACGTGGCGAAATCCGAACCCTGCTCCCGCATCCCATCGATTCAGGAGAATCGATGGTTGGTGGGGGTTCGGGTTCGGAGGTCGCCACCTACCAAATAACCCCAAGGCGCGCGAAGACGGCTGGAGCGGCCTCCAACGAAGCGCCCGAGGAGCTTTCCAGGGCACCCCCTGCTGCACTCAGGCGCCGCAGGACGTGCCGTGGGCCCCGAAGACGGTTCCGAGATGCCGCGCGAGGTTCCAGCATTGTTTCGCGCAGGGGCCCTTGATGCAAGCGTGCAGATCGTGATTGTTCTTCAGATGCTTGCCGTTTCCTTGTTTGCTGCTCCACAATGCCATCTATACATATTTGTAGAGAGAGAAAGAGAGAGAAACAAAAAAAGGAGAGAGCTGCGAAAGAGCTCCAAGGAATCTTGGGAGGCGCCCGAGAGGGCCCCGAGATCGTCCATAATGTCTCCGCAAGTGTCTCTGGATAGCCTATAGCCTAAGAGGCTGCCAAGATGGCGGCGAGGTCTCCTCAAGATGGCCCAAGACAGCTCCAGCACGGCTCCACAATGCGACGTATGTGCGACAAGTGCGTCCTCCACTGTTCAATGCTTAGACTTCTGCTGTTCGCCAAACCATCCTTTGTCATAGCGTTTGGCTGGTTTTGGTCGCCGAGCGCGAGCGCAATGGGGGCAAGCAGATCAGGAGCCTCTGTTTGTGCCGTGGGGCGGCCGGGGCCAGCCAAAGATGCGCCCGCGCGTCAGCAGATCCGCGGGCCCGCCATGTCGAGAATGATGAGGGGACGGTGAGAAGAGGGAGTATTATGAACGAGGTAGGGTATCGTTTCTCCACGTCCAGCTGATGCTGCCCTTCCCCGTGGTTCCCAGAAGATGCAGAGAAGGAGGAGGATGAAGACATGTATAGCGAAGAGGAATGTTGGCAAGGATGGGCAGGGGAAGGAACCAGGATGATGAGGATGATGATGAAGAGGAGGGCGGCAGAGGAAATAGTGGTGTGAGTGTATCCTCATCTTTTTCCACCTCCACAACCATCTCCTCCTCACCATTGTCCATGGAAGACCTCTCGGGCGGCCGCCTCTGGATTGTCTGGGGGTGGGGCCTGCGCAGTTGGGTGCGGCAGTTCGGCCAACCCCTCCTGAAACCTTCCTGCGGAAGGTTTTTAGGAAGGTTTTTTGGAAGGTTCCAGGAATCCTGGAACCTTCCTGGGGAAGGTTTTAGGATGGTTCCAGGAATGTTTTCCCGAAAAACCTTCCAAGAACCTTCCAACAACCTTCCGAAACACCTTCCAACAACCTTCCTAAAACCTTCCAGCATTTAGCGAAACCGCCCAATACATGCCAAAAACCGTCCAATGACATTCCTAAGCACCTTCCTAAACACCTTCCAAAAAAAACCTTCCAATAAAAACCTTCCAACAACCTTCCAACACAACCTTCCAAAAACCTGCCTAAAACCTTCCTCAGGAAGGTTCCAGGAGGGGCTGGCCCAAAAAACCTTCCAAACATCTTCCTGAGGAAGGTTTCGGGAAGGTTCCAGGAATCCCGGAACCTTCCCGAGGAAGGTTTTAGGAAGGTTTTTTTTTGGAAGTTTCCAGGATCCCTGGGTGTTTCCGGAGGAAGGTTTTAGGAAGGTTTCAGGAAGGTTTTTTCTAAAAGCCCTCCAAGGCCTTCCAAAGCCTTCCACACAACCGTCCAAAACCGTCCTAAAACCTTCCTAAAACCTTCCAACATTTAGCGAAACCGCCCAATACATTCCAACAAGCTTCCAAACACCTTACGGAAAACCTTACAAAACACCTTCCAAAAACCTTCCAACAACCTTCCATAAACAAAACGACAAAAACCTTTCACACAACCTTCCAAAAACCTTCCAGTAAACCTCCCAAAAACCTTCCAGAGGAAGGTTTTACGAAGGTTTTTTGAAAGGTTCCAGGAATCCCGGAACCTGCCCGAGGAAGGTTTTAGGAAGGTGTTTTGGAAGGTTCTAGGAATCCTGAAACCTTCCTGAGGAAGGCTTCAGAAAGGTTTTAGGAAGGTTTTTCCCACAACCGTCCAAAAACCTTCCGAAAACCTTCCGGCAACCTTCCAACAACCTTCCAAACACCGTCCAACATTGGTCCAAAGCACTTTCCAAAAACCTTCCTATGACCTTCCTAACACCTTCTGGCATTTAGCGAAACCGCCCAATACATTCCAACAGCCGTCCAAAAACCTTCCAAACAGACTTGACAACACACCTTCCAAAAACCTTCCAACACAACCTTCCAAAACAACCTTCCAAACACCTCACCAAAAAAACCTTCCAACAACCTTCCAAAAACCTTCAGACAAAAAACCTTCCTAAAACCTTCCACAGGAAGGTTCCAGGAGGGGTTGGCCCAAAATCCTTTCTGAGGAAGGTTTGAGGAACGTTGTTTGGAAGGTTCCAGGAATCCCGGAACCTTGCCGAGGAAGGTTTTAGGGAGGTGTTTTGGAAGGTTCCAGGAATCCTGGAACCTTCCCGAGGACAGTTCTAGGAAGGCTTGCAGGAAGGTTTGTCCAACAACCTTCCAAACACCTGCCAAACTACCATCCAAAAACCTTCCTAAAACCTTCCAAAAACCTCCCAGCTTTCAGCGAAACCTTCCAATACATTCCAACAGCCGTCCACAAACCTTCCAAACAACCTTCAAACAAAAACCTTCCAACAACCTTCCAACAAAAACCTCCCAAACAAACTCCCAAACACATTCCAAACAAAAATCGTCCAAAAACCGTCCAAAAACCTTCCTAGAACCTTCCTCAGGAAGGTTCCAGGAGGGGTTGGCCCAAACACCTTCCAAAAGCCTTCCCGAGGAAGGTTTTAGGACGGTTTTTGTTGTTGGGGACGCTTCCAGGAATCATAGAAACTTCCTGGGGAAGGTTTTAGGAAGGTGTCAGGAAGGTTTTCCCAAACACCTTCCAAAAACCTTCCAACAACCCATCAAACAACCTTCCAAAAGCCTTCCAACAGACTTTCAAAAACCTGTGGAACAAAAACCTGCCAAACAACCCTCCAAGCACCTTCCTGCAACCTTTTATCATCTTCCAGCATTTAGCGAAACCGCACAATACACGCACACACACACACACCTTCCACACACCTTCCACAAACCTTCCAAACACCTTCCAACAAACTTCCAACAACCTTCCAAACATTTTCCAAGAACCCTCAAAACAACCGTCCGACCACCTTCCTAAAGCCTTCCTAAAACCTTCCAGCATGTAGCGAAGCCGCCCAATATTTTTCAACAGCTTCCCTAGAAACCTTCCAAATACCTTAGAACAAACCTCCCAACAACCTTCTAACAAACCTTCCGAACACCTTCCAACAACCTTCCAACAAACCGTCGAACAACCTGCCTAAAACCTTCTTCAAGCCTTTCAGCATTCAACGAAAACGCACAATACATTCCAAACATCTTCCAACAACCACTCGAACAACCTTGCAAAACAACCTCCAAAAACCTTCCAACAACCTTCCAAACAACTTCCCCAATACCTTCAACAACTGTTCAAACGACCTTTCAAACACCTGGAAGGTTCCAGGAATATTAGAACCTTCCTGAGGAAGGTTTTAGGGCGATTTTGTTGGACGGTTCCAGAAATCCCGGAACCTTCCCGAGGGAGGTTTTAGGAAGGTGTCAGGAAGGTTTTCTCCAAAAGCCTCCCAAAAACCTTAGAAGCAACCTTCCGAAAACCTTCCAAACAACCTTCCAACAACCTTCCAAACAACCTCCCTAACACCTTCCTAAAACCTTCCTAAAACCTTCCAGCATTTAGCGAAACCGCCCACTTCATTCCGACAACCCCCCAACACACCTTCCAAAAACAAAACCCCAAGAAACGCACAAAAACCTTCCGACACACCTCCCCAACACCCTCCAAAAACTTGTTTCCCAAAAACCTTCTTAGAACCGCCCTCGGGAAGTTTCCAGGAGGGGCTCGCCCAAAAACTTTCCAAAAACCTCACGAGGAAGGTTTTAGGACGGTTTTTTTTTGAAGGTTCCAGAAATCCTGCAACCTTCCCGAGGGAGGTTTTAGGACGGTTTTTTGGCAGGTTCGAGGAAACTCCCAAAAACCTTCCATCCAACCACCTTTCAACAACTTACGAAGAAAAAAAACATAAACCAATCCGCGCCCCCTCCGCCCCGCGCCATGGCGGGCGCCGCCGGCGGCCCGTGGATCTCTGCCGGCGCGGCGGCCGGGTCGCCGCGCAGCGCCTGCGCCGCTGTGGCGCCCGCGGCGCGCGGCCGCCAGCGACGGGGGGCCGCCGCAGATGGCCCCCGCGCCGCCGGTGCTCTTCCCCCGGGGCCTCTCGCCCGCGGTAGCCAGCAGCCTGCCCAGACGCCGCCAACGCAAGACCATGCCGCTGCTGGCGACTCTGCGACCGGCGCGTCCGCCGCCGTCGCCCGCGCTGCCGCGCCGACTCCGCGCGCGGTCTGCGCCGCCCCTGCCGCTTCGACCTCGGCGGCGGCCGGCGCGGCCGCGGCGGCGGCGCATGCCGCGGCGGGCCCTGCGGCCGCTTCCACCCGCGTCGCGGCGAGTGCGCCACAACGGTCATTCGCAGCCCGTTGAAGGCCATGCAGGGACATCGCAGAGTGCGACGCACTTGGGCGGGACCTGGAAGGCGCGCCGCCCG